GGGGGAGGGGAGATTTTGAAGCTTGTGAAGTCCACATTGATACCATTGGGCTGCAGGGTTCCCAAGTGGAATATGAGTTGCTGTTCCTGCAACCTTCGGGCTTCAAAATCTCCCCTCCCCCTACTGCATCCCAAAACCAGCCCAGCTCATCCCCGCCTCCCTAACCTGTCCTTCCTCCCACCTAAAGCCGCACCCCCACTTCCTACCTACTAACCTCATCCCGCCCCCTTGACCTGTCTGTCCTCCCTGGACTGACCTATCTCCTCCTTACCTACACTCACCTTTACTGGCTCCATCCCCGCCTCTTTGACCTGTCTGTTTCCTCTCCACCTATCTTCTCCTCTATCCATCTTCTATCCGCCTCCCCCTCTCTCCCTATTTATTTCAGAAACCCCTTCCCCTCTCCCACTTCTGATGAAGGGTCTAGGCCCGAAACGTCAGCCTTCCTGCTCCTATGATGCTGCTTGGCCTGCTGTGTTCAACCAGCTCTACACCTTGTTATCTATGGGGAATTATAGGCTGGTTAGCTTAACTTCTGTAGTGGGGGAAGATGTTTGAATCTATCATCAAGGAAGAAATAGCAAGACATCTAGACAGAAACTGTCCTATTGGGCAGGTGCAGCATGGGTTCATGAAAGGCAGATCATGCTTGACTAATTTGCCGGTACAACAGGTAATTAAAAAGGCAAATGGAATTTTGTCTTTCATCGCTAGAGGGATTAAGTTTAAAAGCAGGGAGGTTATGTTGCAGCTGCGTAGGGTTTTGGTAGGCCACATCTAGAGTATTGCGTGCAGTTTTGGTCTCCTTACTTGAGAAAGGATGTGCTGGCACTGGAGGGGGTGCAGGGGAGATTCACTAGGTTGATTCCAGAGTTAAGAAGGTTGGCGTATGAGGACAGGCTTAACAGACTGGAATTATATTCATTGCAATTTAGAAGAATGAGGGGGGATTTCATGGAAACATATAAAATTATGAAAGGAAAGATAAGAAAGAAGCAGAGAGGTTGTTTCCACTGGTGGGTGAAACTAGAACAAGAGGGCATAGCCTCAAAATTAGGCGGACCAGATTTAGGTTGTGAATCTGTGGAACTCTCTGCCCAGTGAAGTAGTTGAGGCTTCCTCATTGAATGTTTTTAAAGCTAAGATAGACATATTTTGAATAGTAAAGGAATTAAGGGTTATGGTGAGAGGGTGGCTAAATGGAACTGAGGTCATGAAAAGATCAGCCATGATCTTATTGAATGGTGGAGCAGGCTCGAAGAGCCAGATAACTTACTCCTGTTCCTGGTTCTTATACAGATGGGCTATAGTTAGCTGCTTTTTGCTTCAGTCCCATTTTTAATAGGCATGACACATTGGCAGTTTTCCAATCCTCCATTATTTCTCCAGTATCGAATAAGTTTTGGAAAATTACAAGATTCAGTAGTCTGGATTCCATCCCAAGAACCACACAATCCAAGTATCTTCAAGCATTAGCCAGGGAAAGTTTTGTATCAAGATGGTTGGTGGTTTGAAATCCAGGTCAAATGGGTCAAAAACCAATTCTTAATTAATTGTACCATACCACATGATTTTGTCTTCACTTTTCAATTCACATATACAGTTAGTTGTTTTGTTTTCACATCTGACAGCAAACGTGATTTTCTGCAATAAAAAAACAAACCTTGATCGGTTGAATTCATATTGTCCACCTGCAGGAAAAGAAGAAAGTGTTACAAGAGTAAAACAATATATATAAGCAAACAATATTTTGTCTTGGTGGTCACTTACCAACCGTAAATGGATAATCATCAAGGTTAAGACCAACACCACTACAATGCTTAAATTCATCTTTTGTTCTCTGTTACATGAGCATCTAGTTGCACCTGAATATAATGAAAAAGAACTTATTAAAATGCAATGGACATGTGAAGACCTTGACAACATTCAGATATAGGCTGAAGGAAGCAAGTGCTTTTTTTATTTATTTGCAGGATGAGGGTGTCACTGGCTTGGCCAACATTCATTGCTCATTCAACTGTCCTGGATAAGGTGGCGGCAAACTGTCTTCTTCAACTGTAGTTCTTGAGATGTATGGACATCCACAATGCTGTTAAAAAGTAAATTCCATGGTTTTGACCCAGCAACAGCGAAGGAATAGTAATATCCTACCCAAGTCAGCATGGCTTGCAAGGCTCCTTTTTATGCCTCTGCTGCTGTTGTCCTTTTAGTTGGTAGAGGTCATGGGTTTGGAAGTTGCTGTCAAAGAAGCCCATTGCTGCGTATCTTGTAAGTGGTACACACTGTTGCCACAGCGTGTTGGTGATGAAAGGAGTGAGCATTTGTGAAGAGGGTGTCAATCAAGCGGGATGCTTTGTCCATTATGGTGTCAAGCTGGTGTGTTGTTGGGCGTTGCACTCATCCAGACAAGTGAAGCGAGTTTTCCATCACTCTCCTGACATACCTGTGTCTTCTAGATGGTGGACAGGCATAGGAACGTAAGAACATAAGAACTAGGAGCAGGAGTAGGCCGTCTGGCCCTTTGAGCCTGCTCCGCCATTCAATAAGATCATGGCTGATCTTTTCGTGGATTCAGATCCACTTACCCACGTTCTCACCGTATCCCTTAATTCCTTTATTGTTCAAAAAAAACTACCTTTTTTTTAAAAAACGTTTACTGAAGGAGCATCAACTACTTCACTGGGCAAGGAATTCCACAGATTAACAACCCTCTGGGTGAAGAAATTCCTTCTCAGTTCAGTCCTAAATCTGCTCCCTCTAATCTTGAGGCTATGCCCTCTTGTCCTAGCTTCACCTGCCAGTGGAAATATCCTCTCTACTTCTATCTTATCTATTCCCTTCATAATTTTATATGTTTCTATAAGATCCCCCCTCAATCTTCGGAAGGGAAACACAAGAGATGTTAGATACACAGAATTCCTATCCTCTGATCTGTAACCACAGTATTTGCATAGCTGGTCCAGTTCAGTGTCTGGCTAATTGTAAAACCCAAAATGTTGGCAATGGGGTTTAAAGCAATAGTAATGCCACTGAACATCAATGAACAGTTTGTTTGAGATGGTCATTGACTGTTAGTTTTGTGGTGTGAATATTATTTGCCACTTATCAGCCCTAACCTGGAAGTTGTCCAGGGCTTGCTGCATGTGGATACAGACTGCTTTAAAATCTGGAGTCGCAAATGGTTCTGATCATTGTGCAATCTTTAGTGAATTCTGACCACATGATGGAGGCAAGGTTGTTGATGAAACAGCACAGTGGACTATCCTGAGATACTCCAGCAGTGATGCCCTTCGACTGAGATAATTGACCTCTAACAACCACAAACATATTTTTGTGCTGGGCTTGACTTCAAACACCAGAAGGGTTTCCTCCTGATTCCCGCTGATTCCAAATTTACTTAGGCTCCTCAATGTACCCCAAATCCAGTAAACAGCTGGTAGGCCACTATGCCTTACCTAGGCGACCTTTCCACATTGTGGTGTGCCCTTCCGATGTGGGCAAAATATCTGAGAGAGCAGGAGATGGCCTTCTATTAAGCTAATGAGTGACTCAATCTGCCAACATCACCACTTAAATTCTTATCGCTAGCAAAACACGGGGAAAGATATTGGGAATGTCCGACATCATTATGGACGCGAACAAACTTTCAGAATTCAACAACTATTCATACCAAGACATGAAGATTTATCTTGCCAGTATTATACCAAATAGCTTCACAAATCCCTGTAAGTGGCTGATACTAAAAAAGAGCAAGTATGAACTTTCCCTGGCGAGTCCCATCTATAAGTATATACCTGCATGATCATTTTTACTAAGTACTTATTTTGCTAATGTGTTATTTCAAAAGAGAACAAATACTTAAGTAGCTTGATTAATATTATTTGGCAGTGCTACATTAAGAGTGGATGATTCACCCATTCACCCTGCAAGATAGCAGCGGTGGACTTAGACAGCATCCAGGCTCGAGCCTTGATCTCATCCATACCACCTGCTTTCCTTTTCTCTTTCCTCTTTTTTTTTTAAAATAGAAGTTTTTAGTGTTTATTACTTACCTGTTAGAGAATGTAGAGACAGCGGCAAAGGAGCATGGCAGTAGCAGGGGTCCAGTTCAAGCCTCGATGGTGGCAGCAAAAGATACCAGTCAGCCGTGAGGCAGTGGTGGCAGTCAGCAATGAGGTGGCATAGGGTGGCAGCAATGGCGGTCAGCCACGAGGGATGATGGCACTGGCAGTTAGCGGCAATGGGGCAGTCAGGCCAAAGCCTTACAAGTAGCATCAAAGCCTAGTGTGCTAGGGCTGGTCTTGTCCCAGTACGGGTGAAAGCATGCCCAATGTGGGGGAAGAGCGCGTCCTCTTGGGAAAGCCCAGTTGGAGCATCTGCAGGCCCATGGCTCAAGTAAAGACTAATTTTTAACATTTTAACCTTATTTTTCAACTTTGATGCTAAGAAGACTGTAGTGCTGAACTTTTTAAATTTATTTCTTTTTTTCTTATTTTTGTAACTAAGGTTTTGTACCTAGGTACTTTGTACCTGAAATGGTGCCATGTGTGGCAACAGGATACACTTTTTACGGTACTCTTGTACCCTGTACTTGAATACATGTTACAATAAAACCTAAATCTGAAATCTTAAGTCATCCCCTGTGTATTACTACGTGATATTGCTTTTAAATGGCAGAAATATAATGAGGTGGGTAGAATTTCAGCCTGTGATGACTTGAGACAAGTTAAATTGAATGCATCATTGGCAATGTGGCAATTTTAGTGGAGAAACTGTTTTGAAAGTTTTTTTTGTTTTAAAAAACATTGGAAGAGACTTTCAAAACATTCCAGACCCAGGCAGAACTTTGTATTTTAGATTGTCTTTTTTTGAAGTGGAGATCCAGTCTTCAGTTTATATTTTATTGTGGTCTCATCCAGAAAACAACAAATTTTAAATGATGACTGATTGCAAAAATCTAAATTGGACATTGAACAAAACAAAAGACAATAACCATTTGTGGGAGGAGGGATACTTTTAAAATCCAATCCCTGAAACAGAATATGACTGAGCTTTCTACATTGGTTGCATGGTAACAGAGATCATCTTAGTTTGCCAGTTAAGAACGATCCAACAGGCAACCTAATGGCTGTATGTGTGTGTGTGTGTGTGTGTGTGTGTGTGTGTGTGTGTGTGTGTGTGAGAGAGAGAGAGAGAGTCTCCATCCTAAAATGTGTGTGTGTCTCTCTCTCTCGAAAGGGAGCCTGCAGTCTGCTATGGAGTAACTAGACAGCTAAAAGTGCCACATTTGATAACAAGAAGCTAGCAATCTTCTTTCTCCTTCAAAATCTCTTGTTTTGCCAAGGTTGCCTACACAAGAAAACACCAACTACTTATCTTTAGAAGCCACTTGACTTCAAGGAAGAACCTCTTCATTTCAGCAAGAAATAACTCAAGCAACTTGGGGAGGCAATGGCATAGTGGCATGATCGCTAGACTATTAATCCAGAGACCCAGGTAATGTTCTGGGGACCCAGGTTCAATCCTGCCATGGCAGATCATAGAATTTGAATTCAGTACAAATCTGGAATAAAGAGTCTAATAATTATCATAAAACAATTGTCAGAAAAGCCCATTTGGATCACTAATGTCCTTTAGGGAAGGAAACTGTTGTCTTCACCTACATGTGATTCCAGACCCACAGAAATGTGATTGACTGTTAACTGCTCCCTGGCATTTGGGGATGGGAAATAAATACTGGAATAGTAGACTAATTGCGACATTCTCCTTGTAGACATTAATTTGTCTAGTCTGTAACTTTTAAATAACTTCGTCTCTTTATTCTAATGGAACCTTCAATGATACATAATAAATTAATCTTTGATCTTGTTTTAAAATTAAAGCTTTGCAGGTTTTTTTTAAAATGGAACTCTCAATGAGATGAGTTAAATGAGATAGTTAAATTCAAATAGATTGAAAGAACCACAAATAATTTGCTGGTTCATTGTAAGGAATGTCTGGGGCTTTTTGCAATGGGGGAAGGAGGTAAAAGGCAAGTTATAGAGTCAAATAGCGCAGAAACAGAGCCTTCAGTCCAACTCATCTGTGCTGACCAAACAGCCCATCTGGCCTAGTCCCTTTTGCCAGCATTTGGCCCATATCCCTTGAAACCCTTCCTATTCATATACTCTTCCAGATGCCTTTGAAATGTAACTTAGGACAGGGAGAAAAGAAGTTTGCCAAAGAGTTGTACACCTTGGAATTCTCTACTGCTGAGAACTGTGGACATTCAAGACAGAATTTAACAGAATTTTAGCCACTAAGGAAATTAGACAAAGTGCTACACTCGCTGCAATTACAAGGGAAGATGTTATGAAGTTGACGAAGTGCTGGGTTTTGAGGACAAGGGAAAATCCTCAGCTGAGTTGAAAGGAAGACATGTTGCTAGCTCCATTGTGTTAGGTAGAATCATTGAAACAGCTGCGATGGATGAACCCATTGTTGTACAGCAAGTTTTTTTTCCGAACAACCTGTTCATAGATGTTATTACGCACCTCTGGAGCAAGCCTAGCCTTTTAGTCCAGGGGTACAGAGACTATGACTGCACCAAAAAGGGCACCGAAACTGCAGGGAGCTTCTCTAATGCTCACGCAGAAACGCACGTGCATAACTCCAGACCGACTGTCGCTGCGTCACGTGCAGGAGAAACCTCCCGCAGAGAGCACTGGATGGAAGGAGGAAGGTGACCGGTCGCTAGGGGGATGGGATATCAAAGAATTTCTGTTGTTGTCCTCCCCAGCTTTCTTTCCCATCCTTCCGCAACCCCACACTCCTCTGGCACTCTCCAGGATCCCTATTTTAATACCGCCACCCCACCCTCTCCCAAGTCCGGATCTCCAGCAAAACAGCACATGCGCAGAAAATAGCCACGTGACTGAAACACTTCAATAAATCTCATTCACTGGCACATGCACAAACATCTCCCTAGAGTAGAATGCACATGCTCCTCAGCCTCAGTAAATGCAGCCTGTTGTACTGCGGCAAATTTTGGTCAATACCTGTTTTACACTCCATTACTCGTGTTACCTATTTTTTATCTTTTTGTTAACTATCACTACAAAAGCTATTGAAAATATCCTTTTTCATAATCGTTCCTGTACAGATTTGACTCCATATTAAGTTAACTTTTTATATCACCATTTAGTCACACCTAGGAATACCAAATCAAACCACTGCTCAGAACCCACCGAGGCAAAATGCCTCATGATCCGAACAACTTCCACACACAGAAATCAACTTGAATGAAACAAAAACTAAATGTAACAATAATAAATATTAATTTTTTAAAATGACTGAAGTTCTAAAGAAAGAATTTTAGCCACTAAATAAAAGAACAAGATTTTCAAGAACGTTAATTTCAAATGCAGTTAGAGTGGTGCGAGAAAATCAGATTTGTAAAATCACAATTCTTTTTCGATACAGTAAATAAAGGGAAACTGTAACAACAGACTCAGATTTAAATTGCTGTAGATCATGCTGTGCGAGTTGACCTGGTATACAAGACTGACCTATTTCTTGGTGCCAATACTCATGCTTTGGCATATCTTTGGTATATAAAAGTTGACTCCTCATCTTTTTCAGACAAGGATTGCTGTGTTCAAATTACAGTCAACTCAATTTTTCACCCTAGACATGTACATTTTACTTACCTTACACAGTAAGTCATATTTTTTTCAGGCAACTTCAACTGAACATATGGCAAAATAACATGCAATGGAAAACCTGGCTGAACAATTAAACAAAATAGTGGTAGGATTGGACCTGGAAGGCCAGGTCTTGGCAGGAGTACATGATAACTATGCTCGCTAACAGAACATGATATGTTATATGGGAATCTGTCAACTGAAGATTAGTCTGAAAAAGAGGATAATGTAGTAGAAAATGAATTAGCTTCCTGAGTGCTTGTCAAACATTGGAATACAGTCCTTTGAAAAAGTGGAGGGTAAATATACAGCATTTTCCTACATTTGTAGAATGGGCAAAGAATCACTTGTGCATTCCAGGATCGCTTTTGTCTGCAGAACACAAGTTTTCCAAGGCTGGCTGCACTGTTAATTGTCTACGCACAAGTGTGACACCACAGCATGTAAATATGCTAATTTTTCTGATAAAAAACAGCATTAAAGTGCAGCATTTATTGATCTTCACTAACATGTGCATTTTCCTTTTTGATCAGTCTTGTGCGTTTTTGGATAGCTCTAGAACATCTTGTAAAAGTTAGGAAAAATACAGCAGAAAAATAATATGTTTTGAAAAGGCATTGATAATGTTTGAGGTTATTGTGTAAGGTGTGGCTACACTTGCTTTTGTAGATTTACCCATTTCCTTTTTCATGTTCAGTGATACAATTTAAAGTATAAAGCTGAAGGAAATGTATCAGTGTTTTATGTTTAGTAGACTCACTTGTTAACTTATGAACTGTTAATCAAAACAATTTTAGTTTTAATGGGTACTTTTAAAATTATATTTACATTCCAACAGAAATCTAGATGTGAACCTTTTACTACAGGATCATGGTGGATTGCAATGATCCCAGCTAGCTCCAACAGTTGATTTCATGATGTGACTAAATTGCCTCAGCTTTGCAAACCACTTTGAGGGCCATGATTATGAATCGCTCAACTGTACACTACTTAAAGCAGACAATTCCTCTGTGCAGAGACATAATGCAGAGACAGGTGCTTTAATGGTCTAATTTGCATGCCAATCTAAAGAAATCACCTGCCATATCCTATGCCTCTACTACAACCAAACCTGCAACTATTTTGCAAAAAGAAAAACAGAACTCTCCTCATGTGAGCCCAACAAGAAAGGAGGGAGCAGGAAAATCAGGCATATGCTGCTCATCAGTGATTGCTGGTTTTGGACACTGTAGGATAACAATGTGGACAATAGATCATCCCACTTGAAAGGCTATCCAGTCAATGATTACTGTTGTGTTGGCAGTATCCAAAAGGGCCAATCAGCAGAGGTAATGGCAAGAATCGGCACAAGCAGAGCTAAATCCATGTTCAATAATGTATATGAAAACTCTAACACAAAATAGGAAGAGAAGGAAGTGGAGGTCAGAAAAAAATTCAAATGGCTAAATTCCACTTTGGAATGGAAACGGCTGAAATTTTTCATCTCGGGTTGATGCTTACGCACAGAGCAGGCCACACATAGGATGGTAATGGAGAGGAATTGGCTCCACAGAAAAAGGAATGAAGTATAAAGCTGCTTTAAAGCTATGTGCTACAATTAGCAAATTCAATGTTAGTGAAAATCTGGTTTGAAAATTAAAAGAAATCTGCCCCAAATAAGATGCAAAAGACCATTAGAGCATGGAATGACCACTGGCATACTTGGCAAAGCATGTTTTGAGACCTTAACCAGGAGAAGTAGAAGACGACATTCAGCTCATCAAGTCTGCTGTGCCATTCAATGAGATCACAGTTGGTCTGATAACACTAAACTCCACATTTTTTTTTTGCCTTTTCTCATAACTTTCAATTCCCCTTAGTGAATAAAAATCTTTCAATCTCAATCTTGAATATTCTTATTGACCCAGCTTCTACAGCCCTCCATAGTAAAGAAGAAATTCCTCCTCAGCTGTTTTAAATACACAACCCCTTATTCTGAGATTATGCCCTCTGGTCCTAGACTCTCCCTCAACGGAAACAATCTTTCTTATCTACCCTGTCAAGTCTCCTAAGAATCTTGTACATTTCAGAGATTCAGGGAGTGTTTATCAGTGGTAGGAAAGCTACTCAAAGTTAATTCAAAACAGTCAGTATTGCTTTGTCAGCAAGATCATGTCTTAGAGGATTGATTAAGTTTCTATATGAGATGACTAGACGTGTGGGTGAGGGTACTGCAGTGGATGAAGTCTATGTGTATTTTGGTAAGGCTTTTCACAAGCTCTCGGGTAGAAAGCTGATCAAGAAGACTTTATGTGATCCGGGGCAACTTAGATTTAACATTGGCTTAGTGTACATTAATGAACTAGTCATGAGTGTTGCAAGTTTGATCAGTAAATTTGCAGGTGACATGAAAATTGGTGGTGTGATAAATAGTGAGGAGTAAACCCTTAGACTGCAGGCTAATTTTAATGGGCTGGTCTAATAGTAATGGCAAATAGAATGTAATCCTGAAAAATGTGATACATTTTGGAAGGACGAACAAGGCAAGGGAGTACGTGTTGACTGGTAAGACCCTAGGAAGTAGAAGGGATCAAAGGGACCTTGGTGTGCATATCTACAGATGCTTGAAGGTAACAGGACAGTGGACAAGGTGGTTAAGAAAGTATATGGGGTTACTGCCTTTGATTGGTCTAAACACAAAATACGAGAGCAGGAAGGTTAAGATGGAGTTATACAAGACGTTAGATAGGCCACAGCTGGAATAGTGTGTGCAGTTCTGATGGCCACACTATAGGAAAGAACTGAATGCACAAGATGCGTTGCAAAGAAGACTCACCAAGATATTGGCTGGGGCAGAACAATACAGTTATGAAGAGGAACTAGCTAGGCTGGGGTTATTTTCCTTAGTGCAGAGAAGGCTGAGGGGGACCGGAATTAAGTGTATAAAATTATCAATACCCAGGAGGTAAAGGGCAGGAAGTTCAGTGGGGATTTAAAGAAAACTTTTCTCATCATCAGGGCAGAGGGCATCTGGCACTCACTGCCTGAAAGATAATGGAAGCATGGAAACATAACATTTAAGAAGGATTTACCCTCCAAACCATACCTACTACAGGTCAAGTTCTGGAAATTGAAACTACAGTTGGTAGGTGCAGAAATGATTGGCAAAGGAACTCTTTCAGTGCTGTAAAACTCTGACTAAGTTACCAACAGATTTGGGGCAAAGACAGGTAGGTATATGCAGATGGCTGTACATCCAACATGATGCCAATGAAAGGCAGAAAGATGTTTCAGTCCTAATTCAATTATGTTGTTCCTATTAATCAACTCTGTTTCAGACTTTGGGATATTTTTGCAGATGCTTAGGGCGATAGCATGTCTTTTAAATTCTAGTAAAGTCTGGAAAATAAAATAGCAGAGATATTGCACTGAGAATAACACGAATTGCTACTGAGTTAACGGCGGGTCAAAATAAGGCAGCACCCTTGGGGGTCCTGCTCCATTCACGTTTTCGTGGGATATTCGGGGTTTCTCCACACAAAAAGTCCTGGAACCTCTCAGAGCTGGGGCTGCCATGCAATTAGGATACATCATAGGGATACTTCAACTCTCCTATTTTAAGTTTATCTTCATGGGGTAAAAAAAAAAGACAGCCTGGAGGAGGTGGAAATTTTTAGCCGACAGCGCTCCAAATTGCAATTTCTGAATGAGAAATTGAGACAGTGAGATTTTTTTTGCAGAGACTGGTCAAAGTGGAAAACAGGACAGATGGAGGAGAGACTGAAACATGCTAACTGAAGAAGTTGTGACGGTGTCCGGAGTTTTTTTTTAATTTGGACGCAGGGAAAGCTGAGAAACGATCCAAACAGACTTTAAAACCACACAGCACTAAGAAAAACAAACATCCGTTACTGCTGGCTCTGTAGAGCTGAGAAAAGATCCACCACAACCCGAGTTTTTCCACTCACTGGGACAGGACTCACTTTCCTCACCGTCGTTCTCCTCCTCCTCCTCTCAAACTCGCGCTTCCCGCCATCTCGCTCACGGCCGTTTACCGCTTTTTTTTTCGAAATGAAACCGCCGCCGGCGCGTGGGCTCAGCAGCTCCCGCCTCTATCGGCCTGAAAATAGCGGCCAACACCAGCAGATCCCTGCTACCTGCGGGGGGGGGGCGGAAAGACGGACAATAAATGAGCTAGAAAGCGACGCCTATATTCCCGTGAATGAGTATTAACCACATGCCCACAAATAAATGAATTTTTAATAATTTACACGATAACCAAGCTGTGTACAGAAAATAAACGATATCCACACAACTGGGTTCAACCATGGTACATCTGGTACAGCGGCTTCAGCAAACAGAACTGTAATTCTCTGGGATAGTAGGAACTGCAGATGCTGGTGAATCCGAGACAACAAGGTGCAGGGCTGGATGAACACAGCAGGCCAAACAGCATCATAGGAGCAGGAAGGCTGACGTTTCGGGCCTAGACCCTTCATCAGAAAAGGGGGAGGGGAAGGGGGTTCTGAAATAAATAGGGAGAGAGTGGGAGGCGGATAGAAGATGGATAGAGAGATTCCCTGGGGTTTGTCCGGAGGGAGGAGGGTAACTTCTTCAGGCTAGGCATCCTTAGAAGAGGCTTCACAGTGGGGTTAAAATTGAATCAGAGATAGTAGGAACTGCAGATGCTGGTGAATCTGAGACAACAAGGTGCAGGGCTGGATGAACACAGCAGGCCGAGGAGCAGGAAGGCTGACGTTTCCAGCCTAGAATCTTCTTCAGAAATGGGGGAGGGGGTTCTGAAATAAATAGGGAGAAAGGAGGAGGCGGATAGAAGATGGATAGAGGAGAAGATAGGTGGAGAGGAGACCGACAGGTCAAAGAGGCGGGGATGGAGCCAGTAAAGGTGAGTGTAGGTGGGGAGTTAGGGAGGGGATAGGTCAGCCCAGGGAGGACGGACAAGTCAAGGGGGCGGGATGAGGCTAGTAGGTAGGAGATGGGGATAGATAGGAGGAAGGACAGGTTAGGGAGGCGGAGACAAGCTGGGCTGGTTTTGGGATGCGGTAGGGGGAGGGGAGATTGACCTGTCCGTCCTCCCTGGACTGACCTATCTCCTCCCTAACTCCCCACCTACGCTCACCTTTACTGGCTCCATCCCTGCCTCTTTGACCTGTCTGTCTCCCCTCCACCTATCTTCTCCTCTATCCATCTTCTATCCGCCTCCCCGCTCTTCGTATTTATTTCAGAAACCCCTTCCCCTCTCCCATTTCTGAAGAAGGGTCTAGGCAGGAAATGTCAGCTGCCTTGCTCCTCTGATGCTGCTTGGCCTGCTGTGTTCATCCAGCTCTACACCTTGTTATCTCAGATTCTCCAGCATCTGCAGTTCCTATTATCTCTGAACTTCATAGAATGTGATTTCCCTGATTGGGGCTGTTAATCCAGTGCAATCATGGATCCTTGGCTGACAGATAAAAACAGGAGGGTTAGACAATCTGATGCTCTGAAGAGACATCTGCATTTCTTGCTATCTCTGACACTCTAAAGAGTTGACTCTGAGTGAGTTCAACCAGTGTCAAGGACTTTCTATGTGTAAATAAAAGGCGACTTGTTGACAGGATACTGGCCTCTGTGGAGTTACTTCAGTCGCGATGAAAGCAAAGCACACTTCTGAAGAAACTCACTCACAACAGTCGTCTTTCAGTTGGGGTAAGCATTTCCAGCATCATGCTGTTATTTAGGACGATTGATTTGTTGGACCCTGCCATCAAAGACTGGGCCCAGTATGTGGAAAAGTGCATTATGTTTTGAGGGCAAAAGACATTGGGACAGATGAAAATCAATGAATAATTCTCCTGAGAGCTTGTGGGCCTGCAGCTATTTTTGGTTATTAGGAGCCTAACTTTCCCTGAGGCACCAGTTACGAAAACCTTTCAAGAATTGATGGATTTAGTCACTAAATTGACCCCAAGCCTCATCTAATTCTGAGACGCTATTGTTTTTACTCAGTAACTCAAAAACCAGGGGAATCCATATCAGGATTTTACACTAGGTTAAGGTGACTGGCATAAGCATATGACTTTGGTTTAACCCTTAATGAGATGCTGTGAGACCATTTGGTATGTGAGATTGATGATATAACCATGCAAAAGTACCTACTACCCAAAGCCCAACTGGACTTCAAACAGGCTTTACAACTAGCACATGAGTTTCAGGGTATTCCGATAAAAGTGGACACCCTCGCCAGTCTGACTGATCTTGGGGAACATGCCCCTACTTGAGTGAAGGCAATTGCATAGCCACACTCAGGACATATTCTGAACAGAAAGTCTCTAGGTCAGCCCACAGCAAAACCCCAAAACAAAGCCAAGCCTCAGCAAACGGTTAAAAGTTTCTTCAAGATCCAGGCCGGCAAGCCATTGAAGTTGCTGCTGGTATGTAGACGATACAGCAAAGGAGTTCTACTAGACCTAAATTGAGTAAGAGAACTCATTGGTCAGTATCCAGGAGAGTGCACATTCTGGAAAGTCTAACTACATTTGGTTTGGAACAGTTAAATTGCTCAGCAACATCCAAATCAGAACCAATAAGAATAAAATTCTTATTAAATGGTCGTCTGGTTTTAATGGAGGATGATACCAGCACAGCAATTTCAGTGATTGTGAAACCAGTCTTTAGCAAAATTCACTCTCGACTCCAACCCTTAAGTTTGTGCAAGACCTCGGCTAGACTGAGAGTCATACTGGGAACCTTTGCAGATTAAGGGCACAACTTTGGTTCTGGTCTCTTATGAGAAGCAGCTGATTATAGAAAAAGGCTTGGGCCCAAGCTTGTTGGGGCGAAATTGGTTGAGAGAGAATCACCTAGATTGGCTGGACATTTTTTGATTTGCAAATGGCTGCCTGAGTGAAGCCCTAACTAAATACCAGGAAGTCTTTCAGGGAAGTCCAGGGACCAGCAAAGGAGCCAAGCCTACCTTGCATGTTGACCAGGAAGCCATGATTCTGCAGGGCCTGCCATTTGCCTTACTGGCAAAAGTAGTGGCAGAAATCAGAAGGCTGGAAAGCAAAGGAATCGTCAGTCTAGTCCAGTTTGTGGAATCGGCAGCACCAGTCATACAGATTGTGAATCCTGATGGGTCGGTTCGCCTTTGTGGGATTTTAAACAAACTGTAAACTGCTTTTTGCAGCTGGGTAAATACCTAATCCCTTGCATAGAGGATTTATACGCCAAACTGGCAGGGGAGCTGTCCTTCACAAAGCCATATGTACTTGCAGTTGCGGTTAGATGAGGATTCTCAGAAGTATCCTACAATTAATACCCAAAAGAGTTTGTACCAATATACGAAATGCCATTCAGGGTATCATCTGTCTGTGCAATTTTTCAACATTTTGCGAAGTCCACCCCAGGTCGCCATTCATCTAGATCTTATTTTCATGAGATGACATGCTAGTAACAGGGAAGACCAATAAGAAGCACTTAGAGAACTTGGACATAGTCCTTAGACAATTATCCCAGGCAGGCGTATGCCTAAGAAGGGAATAATGTGCTTTCCAGGTGTCACAAGTGACGTACTTGGGTTACGAGTCAACAAGACCTGTAGAAACACTAAATTGAAGGCATTCAAAGGTGTCCCAGCTCCCAAGTATGTACCAGAGCTTATGTCCTTCCTTGGGTTGGAGAATTATTTCAGGAAGTTCATACATAACCTTGCCTCCATCCTGGGACCTTTGCATCAACTCCTAAAAAAGGGTCAGCCTTGCAAATGGCCAGGTAGCCAAGCCATAGCCTGCAGGGAAGTGAAGAAACATCTATTATCCTCTAAGGTACTGGTACACTGTGATTCTCAGTGAAATCTAGTGTCAACATGTGTGCCTCCCCATATGGCATCGGGATAATACTAGCTCATTGGTGACCCAATGGTAAGGAATGCCCAATAATGTATGCATCCAGGACTTTGGCTAAAAGTATGTAATTACACCAGGCACACCTTTACACAAACTGGCCAAGGACCTACAACAGAGATTGAAACACCTGATCGACACATCCATTTAACCCAAGATTTCCTCAATACCCTCAAGAACATAAAAATCAGCGATGACGAGATTATGGTATCCTTTGACATCACAACTTTATTCACATCAAGCAACATCCCACTAGCCAAAGAAACAGTGGCCATATTACTAGAGGAAGCAGCAACACAGACCAGCAGTTTAATCAGCAATGACAACATACTTAAACTACTAGACCTCTGCCTCACTATGCAATTTATCTTTAATGGTCAAGTATACAAACAGATCAAAGGTACACTGATGGGGTCACCCATCTCAGGACTCATTGCAGAAGCAGTCATGCAAAGACTAGAACACACCACCCTCCCCCGCATTCAACCTAAACTATTGTATCCAGTACATTGACGACATATTTGTCATTATTAAACACAAAAAATTAGAAGAGACCCACCACCTCATCAACAGCATACTCGCAGGGATTAAATTCACAAGGGAAGAAGAAAATAACGATCAACTTCCACTTCTGGATGCTAAAGTTGAGCATAAGACCAAAGGGGAGTTCCAAACCTCAGTGTACAGAAAAACAACCAACACAAAGTCCTCAACTTCCACAGCAACCACCCCAACGCCCACAAACAAAGCTGCATTAGTACACTATTTAAATGGGGCAGGACACACTACGCAGGAAAGAGGAAGAGTACCTACACAAAATCTTTGCTATAAATGGATAACCCTGCACCTTCATCCGCAGATGCCATCTAAACAGACAACAACAGGAGGACACAGTATACCCTAACACACTGGCCACACTGCCATTCATCAAGAATATATCGGAACTGACAATAAGACTCCTAAGACCACTAGAAATCGTGGTGGCCCACAAGCCCACAGCCACTCCACGACAAACACTTACAAGGATTAAAGACTCCATTCCACAACATGTAGAACCAACATAGTTTACAAGATACCATGCAACGACTGCCACAAACATTACATCGGACAGACAGCCACCAGAGTACACGAACATCAACTAGCGTCAAAACGGCATGACAAACTCTCCTTAATATCGGTACACTCAGACAATGAAGACCATCAGTTTAACTGGGACAAGGTAATCATAGTAGCCCAAGCCAAACAT